GGACATTTTGGATATAAACCCACACAGAGCTCCATCCAGATGTTGGGCTGGGGGGCTGGGGGAACTGCCAGGGTGTCCTGGGGTGACCACAGTCTTGGAGCATGCCATCTGCCAGGGTGGGGTGGGGGTGATGCCCCAACAAGCACACCCTGGGCTCTGGATGGCAGCCAGTGTCCTGAAGCCTCATGTGGTCAAGCAGGCTCTGTGGCCCACCGGGAGGGACCCCAGAACCTGCTCCACGGAGGACTCAGGATAAGAAATGGAGCCTGGCTTTACAGATGGAAATGGAATTTCACATCAGATGATGAAACCGACCAACCTCTTTGCTTTATTTATTCTTTAGGAGTAAGTGAAAATGTTTGATTGACTGGTGGCTTCAAAGCCCACATCGTCCTGCCCTGGAGTTGTTAAGCGAGCTAAGCAGGGTGCCCTGAGCAGCCAGAGCCCCCATCCACATCGGCTCTCTGGGCTGCCAGGGCCCAGGACAGCTGAAGAGGTGGGGAACGATGTTATTTCCAGCTCCTGTCTCTGAGGATTTCATAAGTGCTTAACTACAGGGATTGCATTAAAAACTAGTGGGTATTAAAGTGCACTTGAATAATGATGCACCTGACACTCTTATTTTAACAGCTTGAGCTATATTTCATATACCATGAAACTCACCCATTTAAGGTGTACAATTCAGGGTTTTTTATATTCACAGACTTGTGCAGTGCTCCCCACCAGCTAATTTGAGAATGTTTTCATCAGAAAGAAACCCTGTACCCACTGGCAGTCACTCCCCATTCCCATCCCACCCCCCAACTGTGGCAAACCACGAATCCACTTTTTGCCTCTAAAGATATTCTTACTGTGGACATTTCACACCAATGGGACCACACACCATGGCTGACACCACCCTCTTGCATGACATGCTCTGATTCACATTGTGTCTTTCACTCCATTCAATGTCAGCCACTGTTCTCTCCAGAATTAGGAGGAAGCTGGGGCTCGGAAACACAGGATAACTTTCCTAAGGCCACTTGCCCAGGGGAGGGGAAGAGCTGAAATTCAGACTTGGGACTTCTTGGTACGACCCCAAGCAAGCTTAGTTCTCCAGCTGCAAACAGCTAAGGTTTCCAGTTTGGATGGACTGGTCCAAATAAGAGTGAAATCTGATGGCCTGTCCAGTGGCCTATAGTCCTGGGCTCTCCAGTGTGAGTGAGGCTATAGGGCGGCAGCTGAGTTTAGGCTGAAGGAAAGCCACCAGGAGCAGACACGTGAGAGACAGCAAACCAGGAAACTGGCTCAGCAGCTGGTCTACCCCCTGGGTCTAAATCTCAGCTCTACCACCCAGGTTAGCCCCACCCCTGAGCATCAGGACCAGTAGCGGGGCTGGGGCCTCCTCCCTTCCTTCTGCCTGGAGGCAGGACTCAGGACCTGGGGTGACCAGCCCCTCCTAGAGGCCCTGCTCACCTTCCCTCCCCTCCCCTCCCCTCAGCACTCTTCCTGGAGACTTCAGCCCGAGTCACAGAGGGAAGAGCTTTTAACACACTGCCACCAACACCCAACCTCCAGAGCTCCTGGCTGGACAGGCCTAGCTGGGAGAGGGGCCTGTCTGCACCCTGACATTCTTGTAGCAAACCCCAAATATAGCCTGGTAGAGAGAGCAAGTCACAAACGCACGGAGGTTTAGGCACGCAGAGGCCTGAACTGGCCGGGATCTATAGCATGAGCCTCAGGGTAGGATGGCTTGCTGGGAAAAGTAAGAGAAAGCATGACAAGGCTGGACCAGAGTGGGAAGAGGTTTCACCTGGGGAGAATTGCCCTTCTTGCCTTTCTTGGGCAACGTGCCAGCGAGAAGGACGCATGCTAGGAACACTTGCTGGCAGCATCTGTCTGAGTGGCCAAGTCAGCCTAGCCAGCCATAGGCACAACGCCATCCACTTGAGGCTGTCTTCCCAAGAAAGAGGCAGCTGGGGCGCCAAGTCAGCTGAGGGCCGGCTTGGAGGCAATGCAGGGGCTGCAGGTGGGCAAGGGGCCAAGGGACATCCCTTTCCTGGATCACTGAATCCCTTCGCATGGAGGTCCCCACGGAGATCTCCAGCCTGGCCTTCTGTTATCTTCTCTCTTCCTAACAAGTGTCCCTCTTCTTTTTTCAAGGTTTTCATCTCTGGCCCTGTCCCTCCTTTTCAAGCCACATTTCTAGAAAGAGTGGTTGAAAATACAATTCCTCTTCCATCTCCTATAATCTGGGCTCTACTCCGACAGTGTGGCCCTCCCCTTTCCCAGGTTCCTGTGGAGTCCAGCATCTGGCTGACCTCCTTCCTAAATGTCCCTCTGGGCCTCCTCCACTGGGCGTTGCCTTTGGAACCACATCCCCAAGGGATCCTGCTCCTGCCTGTTGGGATTGCTTTGCCTTCATTCCTTTTCTCTCTTGCCTTCTGTCCCATGTTGGTCTGGTGTCTCTCCGTCCTCAAACACAACCTCTAGACAGAGGTTCCCCAAACCTGTGTTTTTAGCGCCTACTCCCCTGAATTCCTACCACATAGATTTTTTTCTGTCACTCCACCGAATGCACTCGCCAGCTCCTCAAATGCAGGGAATCCCAAACCCCATCGCTCCTCCACCTATAGCTCCCCATGATCCATACATAGTAGACAAACCATCCTCCCAGCCTCCTCTTCCACTGTATCCCCCTCCCCAGGGAACATTTGAGTTCTCGCCTTTGCCTCCCTCCTGACTTGTCTCTCTCCCTGCTCTATAGTATGATAGTAATAATATATTACTATATAGTAATATAGTCAAAGAAATGTTAACAACAGCAGCAATGACCATAATAGTGGCCAATGTTTATTAAGCATCCACCCTTCCGAAAGCTTTCCATGTATTAAATTGACAAAGCTTTGCACCCATGACACGAGGGGGCTCCCGGATTCTCCCCATTATACAGATGAGTAATGTTCAGTAGTTTGCCAGAGCTATCTTGCTGGAAAGCATGGGCTCCAGAGTCTGCCAGCCTCAGCACTAAGCCAGACTTGGTCAATACCCTTGTTTAACACAGAGGTAGCTCCCAAGGGCAGGACCAAGAGCTGCTGACTTGGGGCTAAATCCCCTGCAGCGCTAATCCAAGTCTTGGGCAGGCAGCAAGAGTGTGAGGAGTGGTCTGAGAACAGGGCTCCAGAGGCCCCACAGAGCAGGAGAGCACAGGCCAGCGTACAGTCAGGAGAAGGAGGTCTAGCTTTTTCATTTGGGAGAGCTGGCACCAAAAAATTACCCCATCAGCAAGAATGTCCACAGAACATTCTCCCTAGAGGCTGCCCCCACTTCCTTCACAGTAGTCATTTCAGGGTCTGTGGATCCAGTATCTGCTCTGTTCTGCCCGCCTGACCCGGGAGATTTGGGGTGGTGCAGAGGACGGTGCCACGTGTGTGAAGCCCAGGGGGGCCACAGGGGCTGAGAAACCCACAGCAGACCAGTTTCGGACGGATGGCTGAGTATCTTCCCCCAAATTTTACAGATGACATTTTACTATTTTTCTAATGAGTTTTTACTCTCCTTTAACTGGTTCCTTTAAGGGGTGATCTAACGCTTTCAAGTTCTAGTCGATCCTCAGACAAGTATCTGCAATTTCAGCAGGTGACAGGCAGTATCTGGCCCTTCGCTGTTCACACTTTTCATTCACTGACTCTCCCCCTGCCCCACAACATGATGGGAAGCCTGCCGCGTGCTGGGCAAAGGAAACATTGCTGGACATGTCAGGAAAGCAGAAGACTTGACCTCACACCGAAAGCTCTCAGCAGTGGAGCCCCTCCAGGAGCAGAGCGCCTGTGTTACCTTTGTGTCCTAGGCACCCACGTTGCACCTGGACCGCTAAGCAGCATCCTGGTCAGCTGGCCCTCAGAGCCGGACAGCCGTGGGAGGCCCCAATTCTCCAGGTCACACCTGTGGTCCCCAGGCTCATGCCCACACAGCTGGCTCCCTCTGTGGGGGGCACCCCCACTGCCCCCAGCAGGCAGCTCCACACTCCACACTACACCCTGTTCTCTCCCTCCTCCCTTTTCCCCACACTGCCCAGCCAAGTCGTGCACAACTATTAACACAATTACGGTAATTTCCAACTATTCACAGAAGCAGATACCAGTCCATACTTCCCATGTACCCCCAGCCCAGCTTCAACAAGGGCCAACAGATGGCCAATCCAATGTCATTCATCTACCTTTCTTGTCTCTCTGTTTTGGAGCAAGGAGCTGGACAAGTTAACATGTTCTAGGACTTCTTATTTTGTTTACTGTCTCTCTAACTAGAGTGAAATAAACATGAAGGCAGACATTTCTTTTCTATTCAGTTCACTGTGTTATCCCCAGAGCCTTGGAAAGAGCCTAGCACACAGTAGGTGCTCAGCAAATACTTGTTCAATGGCTGAGTGCATGAATGAAGGAATGAACTTCCAGGCAGGCTCCTCCTGCCTGGGGCCTGTGCTTACATTTATGGGGCCACATGTAGTCAACCTTGTTTCCCACATCCCTACCTTCTCTGGCTGCTAGAGGGAGGGGATCTGACAAACTTCTACTGCTGACAGGCTCTTACCAAGCAGCCCCATGAGCTCAGGTGCAGGGCAACATTCCTCAAAGGCTGCACCAAGTGGCAAAGAATATATATATATATAGTACTGTACTATACTATACAAAGTAGACCATTGAACAACACGGGTTTGAGCTGTGCAGTTCCATTTATTCACAAGTTTTTTTCAATAAATACAGTATTACACCATCCGAGATTGGCTGAATCCACGGATGCAGAATCACACATGCAGAGGTCAGACTATGGGACTTGAGCATCCATGGATTCTGGTATCCCTGGCAGGTCCCGGAACCAATCCTCCATCGACACTGACCATGTGAATTTTCAACTGGGTAGGGGTTGACATCCCCCAACCCGTGTTGCTCAATGGTTGACCGCATATGTACATGTAGTTTGTCAAACAGAAGGGGAAGCCCAGGCAGAGGTCTGATACTCACATGCACCCACGAAACCTAGTCAGGTCGTTGTTGGGCTTCTCACACTCGATTACGCTGGTGAACGTCAAAGGGTTGAATTCGGAGTCCTAAAATAATAGCACATACACATTAGAGAGATCTGAGCTCAGCCTGTCCATCTAAAAGGCACTTGCTTCTCTGTCTCCCACCCACAGCAGGAACATTCCATGAAGAAGGACTCTGCCTTGTAACCTGTGCAGAGTCTCTCTCTCACACACACACACCACACACAGAGCACTTGGCCTGTGCATCTTTGTTTTTACAGTGAATGACAGTGAGCCCATAGAACTGTAGCTCTAATGCAAATTAAGCACATATGGTATAAGAGGGAAGCCACTAGTGACGGGAATGAGTGAGTTTCTTGAGACAGACCAGCACCTTCCAACTTTCTATACAGATTTAGAGAAGCAGATTCCATCTGGAAAATAGGAACTTAGAATAAAAATATCACTTCCTCAATGTGCGCTAAAAATTCTTCACAGATATTTGGGGAAAAACAGTTAAATAATCAATGTGTCAGCCACCAATTTCTTTATTATTCTGCTTGATGAAAAAATGACAGCTCACCACAAAGAAAGTCCTTCACTTAGAATTTGGCACTGATAGATGAAGCAAGGCCTGGCTCGCGTGGAGAGATGAGGAGTGGGGAGAGGGAAGGGGCGAGAGGAGGGGGTTGGTAGGGAGGGAGGAGAGAAATACCAGGAATACGTCTTTAGTGTAAATAACTGAGTACCATTTATGGGTTTTTAAAAATCAGCTTGCTTTGATCAGGCTGCCCACTCTCCTTTCTCCAAAAGTGTCACACGTGGTAAAAAAAAAAAAAAAAAGACTTGTCTTTCCTCACACAAGCATAGTGTCACAAAAAAAGTGCAACTGGGGCTTCCCTGGTGGCGCAGTGGTTGAGAGTCCGCCTGCCAATGCAGGGGACACGGGTTCGTGCCCCAGTCCAGGAAGATCCCACATGCCGCAGAGTGGCTGGGCCCGTGAGCCATGGCCGCTGAGCCTGCACTCCACAACGGGAGAGGCCACAATAGTGAGAGGCCCACATACCACAAAAAAAAAAAAAAAAAAGAAGTGCAACTGGTTAAAAATCAAAGGAATACCATAAACATTGTTGATACCCACCCAGATAACTATTACTCCAGCAAAACAATGCCCTCCCTGGGACAGGATACGGCTGTAAAGGCAATGACTCAAAAGTCTGTCCTGTTTTCCCGTATAGCATGTACATTAAAAGAACTCACTACATAGTAGTAGCTCAATTCAATAGCTGAAAGGAAAGTGCCATTTTAAAAGGCTCTTCCTGAAGTTTCATTAGCCATCGGCCCCTCTCTCTGTGGACTGAAATGGCCTCTGGCTCTGTTCCAGAGTAAGGCTATGCTTGGAGAAGCGGTGTTTATTTCAAGCCTTGTGCTTCTCTTGATGCCAGTTGGCTGACTTTTCCAGAGCAGACATCTGCAGATACAGTGCCCAGGACGGCCATGAGGGAGGGAGTTCTGCAGCACACCAGGGTTATTCTTGGCAGACAGGGAGGGTAGACTTAAAATACTCTGTCTCTGTTTATGATTCTTTCTCTCTAAGAAAAATGTAATGTGCATGGCTCAGAAACGGTAGAACATTCTGTCTCTGGGGCTTCAGAGCTGCATTTGTAATGTTCTACTAATAACCATGTGCCTTGGGGAATGTGCATCCCCAGGGCATGGGATGCCTGGTCTCCTCTGCTTTGTCTGGAACTGGGGAGGATTTTTAGAGCTGGAGGGATTTTTAAAGACTGTTATGGGTTAAACTGTGTCTCCTTACGCCACCCCTAGAATCCATACGTTGAAGTCCTAACACCCAGTACCTCAGAATGTGACTGTATTTGGACATAGGGTCTTTTCAAAGATAATTAAGGTAAAATGTGATAATCAAGGTTAGCCCTCATACAATCTGCTTGGTGTACTTATAAGAAGAGGGAATTTGGACACAGACACAAACTGAGGGAAGACTGTGAAAAGAAAAAGGGAAGACACACCCATCTACAAGTCAAGGAGAGGGGCTTCAAAGACAGCAGCCCTGTGGACACCCTGATCTTGGACTCTGCAGCCTCCAGCACTGTAAGAAAATAAATTTGTTGTTTGGGCCACTCCTAGCCCTAACAAACTAATACAGAGACCATCTCTGAGTTTCCCATTTAAAAAGGGTTTCATGTTCAGAGCACACCTTTTGGATGAGAAAATTCTACTTACCTTGATTGTTTCCAAAGTAATTGGCAATCTCTTAATAACCCCATTTAAGAAATATATTTATTCATCACTCCATCCAATCATCTACCCATCTCCTTCATGCCAAACTGGCCTCAAGGTAGTGCCCAAGTCATCCAACAGCCAACCTTCTGTTGACCTGGTACCGGAGCATGGACAGAAGGTCCAGTCTACCCTTCCATCCCAAGCATGCTAACTCCATTATTTGAAAAAGCAGACAAAAAGTTGGGGAAGATTAAAAAGTTCTGGAGATGGATGGTGGCAACTGTTGCCCAAGAATGTGAATGTACTTAATGTCACAGAACTGTACATTTAAAAAAAAAGTTAAAATGGGGAATTCCCTGGTGGTCCAGTGGTTAGGACTCCACACTTTCTCTCTGTGCTTTCACTGGCGAGGGCCCAGGTTCAATCCCTGGCCAGGGAACTAAGATCCTGCAAGCCTCACAGCGTGCCAAAAAAAAGAAAAGAAAAGAAAAGTTCAAAGCAATAAAGAGACTCTATCTAAAAAAGAAAAACAACAACAAAAATGGGTTAAAATGGTAAATTTTGTTGTTATGTGTATTTTACCACAAAAAAAAGTTTAAAGAAAGCAAATATAAACAATCATTGGCAATTGACTGTGAAGAAAATCATCAAGTAGCACCTAGCTCAGAGATCCAGGAATTTCAGCACAAATACAGGGAGCCTCACGCTTAAATCACCCGAGGGCACCTCTGTACCGATATCTATATCATAATCATCAATTACAGCTACAATGTTTTATAGGTCACCTACTGCCAAGCATTGTGCTAAGTGTTGTTCACCACTGCTCACAGCACCACAATGAAATTGGTTTTCAAACTACCTTTAATGTGGGGTAATTAAGGACCATGCCCAAGGTCAAGAGACCTTGGAGCAAGTGAGGGAAGCTCCTTGGCCTCTCAGACATCCAGCTCAGCTGCCGACCTCACCAAGACTATCTTGCATTAACAAGAAAAGATAATGTATGTATAAGCCAGAAAGTGTACAACTGATTCCACAGAAATTACCAAAGAAACAAACATGTCAAAGTTTCAATGTTTTCAAAAACATACGTCAATTAAATGTACCCCCTTCCCAATTTCAGCAATACCCCTGGATGTAGTTAGCACAGTTCACTGAAAACCAGAGTAAAAATATCAGGAGCCCTGGGATTTACTCCTAGTTCTTCTGATTAAGAAGTGCAGACCTCTTGGCATTTAGACTTGGCTCTCCAAGATCTCCGGAGCCCTGTGAATTCACAGTTCTATGAATGCAGAGGTGATTCTAACTACCCGCCCCCCCACCGCCTGCAATGGCCTTGGTACTGGAAGGCGCTGCAGAAGCAGCATGATCCACGAGGATACCGTCACACCAGCAGGCCTTCAGCCATGCTGCCCACTCTCTGCAGCTTGGCCACAGCACACCTGGCATCTTGGGCCAAGTGCAGCTGACATCATTCACTGCAGAGCCTACATATCCAAACAAGCACCTTACTGGCAATAAAATGCACATGGTTTCTGCTGCAAACATTTCTCAAGCTTCTTTGGATGAAGTGATTTGACCTCATTAGGTAGGTGGGAAAGAAGAGGCAGGGTGGTGACACAGGGGAGAGCCCTGGCCCCTGCCTTTGAACTTGTATTTCTCTAGAAACTGTGGCATTTGAGAACCTTGTGAGCCAAGTCACCCCAGATTGTGGTCCCTCCTTCTTCCCTCCACAGATGCCCAGCTCCCACATCCTCCTGGCACTTGGCACCCTCTCAGGTAGAACAGCTACCTGCGCAGGTGCCATGTCCCTGGTTCAACCACACAGGGGAGTCTGGTATCAAATGCAGTGGCCAGACCAGTCGCTGAATTAATGTTTGATTCACCAGGAAGATTCTTTTTCTTTTTTTAAATTGGAATATAATTGCTTTACAATGTTGTGTTAGTTTCTGCTGTACAATGAAGTGAATCAGTTATATGTATACCTATATCCCCTTCCTCATGGACCTCCCTCCCATGCACCCCCATCCCACCCCCTTAGGTCGTCACAAAGCACCAAGCTGAGCTTCCTGTGCTTTATAGCATGTTCCCACTAGGTATCTATTTTACACATGGTAGTGTATGTACATCAATCCTGATCTCCCAATTCATCCCACCCTCTCCTTCCCCTCCTGTGTCCACATGTCCGTGCTCTACATCTACGTCTCTATTCCTGCCTTACAAATAGGTTCATCTGTATCATTTTTCTAGATTCCACATACATGCGTTACTATACGATATTTGTTTTTCTCTTTGTGACTTACTTCACTCTGTGTGACAGTCTCTAGGTCCATCTACATCTCTACAAATGACCCAGTTACGTTCCTTTTCATGGCTGAGTAATATTCCATTGTATGTATGTACCACAACTTCTTTATCCATTCACCTGTCAATGGACATTTAGGTTGTTTCCATGTCCTGGCTATCGTAAATAGTGCTGCAATGAACACGGGTACATGTGTCCTTTTGAATTATGGTTTTCTCAGGGTATATGCCCAGTAGTGGGATTGCTGCATCCTATGGTAGTTCTATTTTTAGTTTTTTAAGGAACCTCCAAACTGTTTTCCATAGTGGTTGTATCAATTTACATTCCCACCAACAGTGTATGAGGGTTCCCTTTTCTCCACATCCTGTCCGGCATTTATAGCTTGTAGATTTTTTGATGATGGCCATTCTGACCGGTGTGAGGTGATATACCTCATTGCAGTTTTGATGTGCATTTCTCTAATAATTAGTGATGTTGAGCATCTTTTCATGTGCCTCTTGACCATCTGTATGTCTTCTTTGGTGAAATGTCTATTTAG